AGTGTTGATGTACTGTATGGTCAAATAACCCCCAAGACCTGCATGGTGTGGGAGTGCCTTATCCAGCAGTGGAGTGACCAAAGGCTGTACCTGTACGTGTGTAGGAGTGTGTGAGTTTATATGTAAACTATGTCTACGTTTGTTTGTGTACATGTCTGTGTGTGTATATACGAGTTGCTTTCATTGTGCATTTCTATGCGTTTATGGCAATGGTGGGAAAGTCATTGGCACATTCCATTACAAACTACGTGACCTGGGTCTAGGATCTGGTAACAGCATCAGTGCTGAGGGATAAAAAAAAATCTGGTCATCGAACTCCCCTAGGGTGACTCAGCCTTAAATGAGTACCTGGGATGGTGTATGAACATCAGCAATGGGGAGAAAAAGACAGCCAAGGACGGTGCTAGTCAGGGAAGTACAATTAGCACTTGACTCAAAAGTGTGTGCAGGTTCCACGGGGAGATTGTCTTTGTGCTCTAAAGTGCAGTGTAGTAGTGTGTGCTTGTTCTCTGTCACTGGCTTCACTTTCCCCAAAAGTTTGTATGGGTTACTTGGGGGAACTTTGTCTCTTTAATGATTTACAACTAAGATTGACATTAATTACGTATAAGCTGTTTCTGTAGTGGAGGGCACCATCACTGAACATGATCCACTGTGAACCAGGAGCTTGAATCGGCCACGTGGATCAAACCGTTACCCTCACTCTCCACTGCCGATCCACTATCAGGGCTCCATTTTCTCAGTGTGGCCTACGGTCACCTCACTTGCTGCACCTCGTGTGAGGGCTATCATTATTGCTAATTGAATGTTGCTTAAGATGATGGAAAGCATTACAGCAGCCATGCATATGCATAACTTTTCTTCCTTTTGTTCTTTAATGTACAACCAGTGCAGCATTCACTGTAGACCCATCTACTCACTATACATTTACTCATCCACTCGCACTAATTCACTCATTTACCAACCCACTCACACACTAATTCACTCATTCACCAACCCACTCACACACCACTGACCCACCAACTCACATCCTCACCTAACTCCACATACTCACTCATCGATCCACCTACTAAGTCCCCCACCAACTCAAGCAGGCACGCACTCACTCACCAAACATTTTCCCTCCGTGGACAAGTGGGCGTGGGAGGAGAATAGTGAAGGGATGGGCAAGGGTGGGGGATGGTTTATGGGAAAAATGAAGGCAGGAGCAGATTGGGGGGTTAGTGGGAGGGGTAAGTGTGGAGTGCGGGGAGAGGAGTGAAGTGAGGAGTGTGGACAATGATTTCAGTGACAAGGGGAAGTATTTTGTCAAAAGTTGTGTTCATGCATGGGCTATGCATGTCCGAGTGTTTACGCAAGTGTAGTGACTATCTTGATTTGATGCTTTCGTTTCTGCAGGAATCCATACTCTTTGGTTCTTTCGGTAAAGTCACGTAGTTAGAAATACATTTAAATAAAACAAATCACTACGTTTTGATTACAAGACAAGCAATCATCATCAGGTGGGAAAACCACAGCAATATATTTTTTTACCGAAGTGGGAGAGAGAGCTGCCGTGGCAAGAGGTTAAATAGTTAAGAAGGGGGGAGGGGCAAGGGGGGAGAGAGAGAGGAGGGGGGGGTAGGGCGAGGGGAGCGCTGCGTGAGCGCTATGAGATGGGACGTGAGGCTGGGAGAAGGAAGTGGGTGGGGGTGGAAGTGGGAGGCCAAGAAAGCTGGGGATGCGGGGGGAAATTAACTCGGAAAAGCAGACTAGTGCCCGATAGATATGATAGACACAACCATAAACAGTTAAGGTTTTACCTGGTTAATAACATACTTCCAATGATTGCTCAATTTGTATCCATCTTCTCGGTTGAAGTTTTGTCTATGTTTATATATCTGGATGGCTTCATGAACAAACCATTGATAGTAGCCAGAAGGTTTGCAGAATACCTTGGTCTCGGAAAAAAACAATATCATGCGAGCCCACAGCGCTATAACAATGGTCAGCCATGCCAGAGGTATTGGTTCTGCCGTGTTTCAGATCTGCCTTGTGTTCGTGGACATGGCAGAGACACCACTACGAGACAAGAAGGCTCACATGATCGAGTCTCTCACCTTTCTGAAGAGATGCCGCGACAACAAGGTAATACCGACCACATTTACACTCACATCTGCTTCTGTCACTTCTCCTAATGCCAAACGGATCTTATTCAGAGCTAGCCTTTCTCTAATCTCAGAGAGGATAAGACTACTCCGTCTTGAACTTGATAATTTAGACAAATGTCTCCTACAATCACACTTACAATTCACAGATAAAATGTCCACATTTGATTGGAACCTTGTAGATACATGACTGCTTCTTCTGCCGCAACAATGTCTTAAAAATGTAAGGTTAACCTTATTGTTAAATTCAATAACTTGTCCAAAAATAAACCAGATCCACACGTTAAAAAGCTGGATATTAACAAGATTGTTATCAATCAGAGTAGCAGCACAATCTCCGATAGCCTAAAATCGGTACTAGCTAGAGGGCTGAATTTTGCTGCCACCCCCAAACACATCCCAGTTGATGATTTAATCGCCCACGTAGATGTAGCCCTCAAAGGCTTGGGACACATCCCGACAGACGTGGCAAGATCTGAAATAGCCACCATCCTTAAAAATGCTAAGAAATCTATTAGTAACATCAGCAAAGATGAACGCTCTGAACTCGCCAAATTGAAAAATAGAGATGACAGTCATCTTCTCAGCCTACAAGGGCAATGCTACTGTCATCATGGATAAAACCACATACAACAACAAAATCCAGGATCTTCTTAATGATGGCAGTTACACCAAAATCAACAAAGATCATATCAACCGCCTGACTACAAAAAACAACAATATCATTACCAGTTCGACTTCTCTAATCGAACCATTCAATCGGCTCTCCCTAAAACCTTCTGCTACTAGACCACCCAGATTCTATGGTCTTCAAAACTCCATAAAGAAGGCACTCTACTTCGGCCGATCGTTTCCACTATCAACTCAGCTACCTACAAACTGGCCCGTTTTCTGTTAGATACCTTGCTTACATTCACAGGTATGACTACCTCAGCAGTACGTAACTCAGCTCACTTGGTCTCTCTAATCAAGGGCAATTCACTTTCCCCAGATGATTTGCTCGTCAGCTTTGATGTAGTTTCTCTGGTCACCAAGGTTCCTGTACCTGACACCTTAGCAATAATTGAAGACTTAATACAACATGGACTGAGTCCTGATGTACCTACTCTAGTTAGGCACTGCCTTACCAACACTTACTTCACCTGGAATGGTTCTTTCTACAAACAAATTGAAGGTACCCCCATGGGTTCCCTCTTGTCACCAGTGATTCCGAATGTTTTCATGGATAAATTTGAAACAGATGCCATCCAGACATCCACCCTACGTCCTTCCTTGTGGAAGAGATATGTAGATGACACTTTCGTCATTTGGCCACGTGGCCTGCCAGCTTTGAACCAATTTCTCAACGACATCAATTCCATACACCCATTCATCTAATTCACCATGGAAGTGGAGAAGGATGGTAAGCTACCATTTCTGGATGTTTTGTTTGAGAAGAGACCTGACGGCTCGTTGGGACACTGTCTACAGGAAAGCCATCCACACACATTCCTATCTGATACCTGATTCCCACCACCATCCGGGACTGAAGACTTCCCTCATCAAATCATTACACCATAGGGCCCACTGCATTTCTGACCAACACCACCAAAACTGGAACACGTACACCAAGCCCTCAAGATGAATGGGTACTCGGACAGCATTATTCGCAAAGCTGTTTCTCCAACCATGGAGAAACAACTCCATGAGAAGCCCATCAAAACCATCATGTTACCATACAGGGCATGTGTTACTAATAATATTTCCAAAATCTTAAACAAACACAAGATCCAGGTCCGATTCAATACAGTACACAATCAGTGATCTAATCCCATCTGTGAAGGAGGTCATTCCTGATATGCAATACCCTGGAGTCTACAAACTGAGTTGTACCTGCGGTAGCAGTTACATTAAGGAAACGAAACTACATGTCTCGGACCGGGTTCGCGAACACAGCGCAGATCTGAAACACGGCAGAACCAGTACCTCTGCCGTAGCTGTCCATTGTATAACGCTGTGTGCTCGCATGATATTGTTTTTTTCCGAGACCAAGGGACTCTGCAAACCTTCGGGCTACTATCAAAGATTTGTTCATGAAGCCATACAGATATATAAACATAGACATAATTTCAACCGAGAAGATGGATACAAATTGAGCAATCATTGGAAGGATGTTATTAACCAGGTAAAACCCTAATTGCGTTATGGTTGTGTCTATCATATCTGCTGGGTACCAGTCTATTTTCCCGAGTTATTTTCCCCCCGCATCCACAGCTTTCTCGGCCTCCCACTTTCAGCCCTGTCCACTTCCCCCCCCCCCAGCCTCACGTACCCTCTCATAGCGCTCACGCAGCGCTCCGCTCCCCCTACTCCACACCCCCCCCTCTCTCTCCCTCCTTGCCTATCTCCCCTTCTTAACTATATAACCACTTGCCACGGCAGCTTTCTCTCCCACTTCAGCAAAAAAAAATCTTGCTGTCGTTTTCCCACATGTTGATAATTGCTTGTGTTGCAATAGAAACGTCGTGATTTGTTTTATTTTAATTTATTTCTAATTACGTGACTTTACCGAAAGAACCAAAGAGTAGTGTAGTGACTGAATGGGGTTGCATTTGACTCTGTGCACAGTTACTAAGTGAGGATTCTTACAGGCAAAAATCCGCCAAAAAGTCTTTACAAGCTGCTGGGGCAAGTGCTGTTAGAGAGCACCTATGAAGGCCGGTATGGTATATGATGGGGTGGGTGACCAGCATCACGCCTGGCGGCCATTGTCTCACAAGTAGCAATATTTTACACACTGCACCTGGTACTTATTTGAAGACGAGTTGCACGCACAATTTGTGAAGTAGCGAATGCGAGGTGTGCCAGTCTTACATTAGCTCTTTACATCTGTGCAGTCCAGGCTGGAGTATCTTCATTTCCTCGGTGCCAATGCCACAGCCGAACAGGTTGAGTGTCTGCACAGGCTCTTCTCGATGCTGCAGGATCCAGGAGAGGGCAGCGCAGTCTGGCAGGGACAGCCTTGTGCCTGACAGGTCTATCTCAGTCATGGACCGAGTCACATCACTCAAGTATATGCAGTCGTGCAGCTCGTGCACGCAGTGCAGGAGACTGATGAACCTGTGTTTGTCAACCTTCTGAGTCTTCATGCTGCGATAGAGCCACTCGATTATTTCCTTTTGAGAATCTGCAGATGGAGGATCCAAGATACCCTCAAAGAACTTCCATGGAGTGCTTGATGCTAGTCCACAAAAAAACCTCTGAAACACATCCAACCTCCCATCTTTGCTATCCTCAATAGATTTGATGACGTCACTCACTGGCCATGTTGAATGTGACAGATGCACGGCTATTGCTGCAAAGAATTCCTGCATTGTCAAGTGTAAAAAAGAATAACAACTCCCTTGTTTAATGCCCTCACATGTGAACACTTTGTTGATGAATGTACTTCCTAGTTCAGAAGAACTAACAGCACACTCTTCTAGATCTTTTTGGCTGAACATCTGGATGTTTTGCTGAACCCCCTTCAGAGCCATATTGGCAAGCGGTGATACAATTTCCTTGGCTCTGCGGCTGCCACGTCTATGGTGTACTATGAGCCCAAACACGTATTGTGTGAAGAGGTCGGTCATTGATTTGAGGATAATCTCAGAATGTTCAGACTTTTGAAAATGTTCCTTCAGTGTAATGGCTGCTATATGGCAGAATGAAGGGTTATGGCACAATGTATTCACTGTTTCATTTTCCTGCAGGAGCTTGAGTGCCCTTTCTACTAGACTCCTATCTTGGTAAAATTTGTTAAAGAATGCTACTTTAGCTTCGTTGGAAAACCCAGTGATTTCAACAGCTAGATCAACATTCACTTCACTCAGCTGCTCCATGGCAATGGGTCTGGTCGTTATCAAGACCGAGGCCTTGGGCAAGAGTTTTCCATTCACTAGGGCAGCAATTATGGTTTCTACTGTTGCCGTCTTACGTGGATCAGTACAAGCATTGGCATAGTGAAGGCACTTTCCAAACTCGTCCAATCCATCCATAACAAAAAGGGTTCTCTCTTGGTTTGTGAAAATCTCATTCGCTTTGTTTCCCAAACATGAGTGCAGCTTAGAAAACAGCTCTGCCAGTGACATCTCTCCAACATCATTTATCTCCCTGAACATCATGAGCACAATGTGCTCAAAGCGTTGTGCAAACACTTTCTCTCCTGACAGCAAGCTGTGCACAATGAATTTGCTCAACATGGTTTTACCGCTGCCTGGAGTCCCCACTACAATAACCAGTCGGGGGTGGTTTTGTTCCCCAATGGATTCAACGGGATCAAAGAGATTATTGTAAGTCATCCCTTCTCTCTGTGCTCTCTCCATCATTATCTCGTGCTGCTTGCCTCTCGATAGTAACTCGTGCTCCTTGGTTTCTTGCTGGTGGTAGTAGGGAACCAGAATTGGCTTCACCATCCTCTCTCGCAAAAACACTGCAGGTTCTCCAGGTCGTGCGTTGTAGTCTCGTGTTAATGATGTCAGCTTCAGCAAGAATTCTCGGTAATCATCACCAGGGCTATCTAAATGACACAAATAATTTAACGAGCAAATTAGTTTCACTTACAATAAAAAAAATTCTATAGCAGACAAATATGTTTAAAATAAATTATGTAAAAAAAAGCGTAGCGAATTCGTTCACCATGGATAATGCATCACCATCATGTACATCATGAATTATTGTGTGGAAGTTTTCACAATGTGTATTCTACACATGCATTTTTTTATAAACACTGTACTGTACCTTTGTAAAAAAAAATTATCATAACAAAAATGTTACCACCATTTGTCTTGTGTGTTTTTCATGTGAAAAATATAGTACCATCACATTTCGCATTACTGTGTACATCAGCATCATCACAACCTAATTCTATCAATCTGTGTGTAAAATTCACTGCTTGCCTTATCCTACCATTATTATTTTTTGTTGTTTAGGATGTTGAATTTTACTTTTTATATTTCACTGGTATTGGGGCCGTGTTTCCTCTCCCATCTCAAGCTGACCTTCATCACGTAGCAATGGGACTACACTGGTGGAGTGCAGTACACCAGGCACGGTCCTAGCAGCAGAGAAGATGGAGTGTTTTCACCTCCACAACAGCAGCCACCATGAATTACAGAACTCGTAGCATCCCACGTGTTGCATCGTAGGTTCACTTGAGCTTCAACTAATCTGGCTACTGCATCATCAGCAACACTGTGGCAGCCACTACATTGTGGAGAGTGTCTATTTACAATGACAAATTTGCTCAATAACTTCCATCAGCTTTCCAAGGAAACATTGAACCCAGTGGCTCACCACTTGGGCAATGGTGACCATGGGTAGCGTGATCCCTCTGTATCTGATGTTATTTTAATCTCTCGGGAATCATATACTCGGAGTCATTATCTCCCATGGACTTTTTTTCCAAATGACGAGGGCTGCAAATTTGACGTTTAATCTGGAGTGAATTATAACCAATCCAGTTTAAGTTTCATTTATTTGGTAAAGCCCTGTGAGCCATACGGCTCTTGAATCGGTGCAACCGCAACAAACAAAAACAGGAACAAGAAACATCTTAAAGTGACTACGCGCAAACAGAAAAATCCAGGAAAAAACAGAAAAGTCTTCCAGAAAAAATAGCGTATTTCAACGCTATGTGCAAACATCCCAGTGGGATGCAAGTCAAACAATAACAACCATAATACAATTTAGATTAAAGTTATCAGTCTAACTCTGTACTACAACAAACAAATATGGCTAAACCAAAACGTTTTCGAAATTACCAAAATAAAAGCTTTAAAAGCAATGTAACAGTGATCATAGGAACTGATTAAAATTTAACAATAAACGATATACATAACATGTACTACCAAACTTTGCAGCCATAGCTGGCTGCATGAGTCACTCCATAACAGCAGGAGTATCAGTAGGAGTATCAACTTTTTCAAGAGTTAACAGGAGAGAGTAGGCTCCGTTTCATGAGTCAATGGCAATAAAAGGTTGGGTGTCATTAGAAATAGCAGTGATAGCGAGTCAATATTTAAAATTAGGAATAAAAAATGTCCTCAAAGGAGGAGACATTGTACTGAGAAGAGTAGATAGCCAAGGACGTAGCCATGTGGAACACCATAGAATGGGGGCTTCTGAACGGAAGGCAGTCCTTGCTTGGAAAAATATGGCTCACTTTTAGAGGGTGAGGGTGAAGCAGAAGCAGTGGGGAAGTGTGAGGGATGCCTGCGTAGCCATGCCGATTCAAGAGGATGAAGTGGTGTGTGGTATCCAAAGCAGCCCAAAAGTCAAGAACTAGAAGCAGCTTCCATAATTTAAAAGAGGTGGTTATTTACCCTGCATAGAGGAACAGTTTCAACGACATGGACTTGGTGGAATCTGGATTGTACCAAGTCATGGAGACCATGGCAGCAGATGGGTTTGCTGCCATGGCCACACATCTTGGGCTTCACACTTGAAAGAGAGCTTCATAGCTCATTATATTCTTTTAACTCAAATAAAATGTATGTGTTTGAAGAGGTTAGAGAAAATCACCATGTTGAAGTCTTTTGCAAAGAAAGGTAGGTGTAGGATAGGACAGAAATTCAGGAATGTTGGGGTCCAGTGTGGATGTAATGTTTTGATACTGACACACATTTCCATTATCCATCCATCCTTTCCTCCAAATTGCTGATCCCTTGTACATACCCTGCTATGGAATGGAATATGAATGTCCTCCTCCTGAGAGGGATGTTGCTATGCAAGAGTGGTGCAGTTTGCGAAAATCAAATGACAGTTCATATCAGTTCTAAGCAATCTTTCACTTAAACTTGACAGAGACATGTGAATGGATATGTGAAGTTTAGCATTACTCACGAGAAGCTGCTCCAGGGATGGCTTTACCCGCAGATCTGCTCAGATCGACACCCATCACGTAGAGCTGCTGCTCATGTTGTGATATCCACTGAACCAAGGGAGGGATCTCGGATCTCAGCGGCACCAGCACGGCTTCAATGAATCTCATGCACACTTCTTCTCCCTTGTCGAGCACCAGGTCAACCAGGTCCCGTGTTCGTGCAATGGGGTCAGTCTTGCTTTTAAGGGACGCGTATTCACTGTACAGGATCCCTGCTTGTTGTGAATGGTCAAGCACTTCTGAAGAATTCGCCTGGAGGTATGTCTGCAGTTTCACTTTGTTGGTTCTTATGATCTCATATGCAGGATTTGTTAATGCCATCACGACAATGCAGAGTCACCTGAAGAAAATGAAAACAAACCACGTGTCACCTGTAAGCATAGTCGTGTAATTTTAGCCAGGTATGGGAAAGAATAATAATTATTATAATAAAATGCTGCTACTAAAATCTGAGGTCTTGGTTAGGTACAATTGTGACTTGAGGTATTTGATTGTGATTACATTGAGTTATTTAAATTGTAATGTAAGCTTAAAATTGATATTTAAATTTATGTAAATACATCAAATAGCATCGAAACACCTTAGGCATCTCAAAATACTCTTCGGTGCAAGCATATGAACATTCATATGAACACAACACTACGAAAAAAAAGTTAAATGTTAACCTAATTCAAAACACCACACAGGTTTAGCAGATTAAGCAGCTGCGTGACACCACGTACTCACTGCCTCGATCACCGTGATGCAACGCAGACGGCTAATTGCGCTGTAATGTGCATTGATCGGGATAGCGTCACCTCTCGTTGAGTGACGATTAGGATGGAAGTGGAACGGCAGAGGGTGGGAGCCAGGTTTGATCCTGGGTGGTCCCTATGTAGTGGCCACTCCCATGCTCTCAATGTATGGGCAGGGGGTGCTCTGAAGTCTAGCAGTGGTATGATGTCACATACGCTTCACTGAAATTAATGAACATGATCTTTGTAGAGGTGCAGTATGTTTGTGTGGGGAAGCCAAAACTTAAAGTACACGCATGAGGCAGAGTCAGTGTTACTGTGATGTTCATTATGTTACCTATGTCATTGTTTGCCTGTGTGGCTATCAAACCGTGGGGTTTACGTGTAAATCAAATGCCAGGTACCACGCCATAAGCCCCGTGCTGAGCCAGCGCTATTCCGATTTCGCGTCCATCACCTTAAAAGTATTGTATACCTTTAAAGTAGTTTAATTAGCGATTTAGTGCTGTTTTAATTTATTTATTACATAGCACGTGCTCGACCCTACCAACTCACACGCGTTTGGTGGGGGGGAGGGCACCTACCAAGAAGCCCGAAGGCCTGCTATCCTAGGACCCTGGGGACCCGTTGACCCGCTCCCCTTGTAAGGGCCGGGACTGAGCTGGCCAGTGGTCGGACCCGTACCTTGGCTGGGTTGGGTCAGCATAGCCTCCCCTAGGTTCCCTGTAGCCGGAGGGCTGACAGCCGTAGTCCCAGTGATAGCGCATGCTAGCCCGGAGGCCATACCTCCCCAGGTAGTGTTAGGGACCACTAACATTACTGTACTGTACCGTTTATTGTAATAAACGTGTTGCCTCTACGGACCGTCTCTACTCTCGTCAAACCCCTTACACATTGTCTAACACACACATCGACTGACACAAACACACATCGAATCACGCGCACACACACAGCGACTTACACACACACACATCGACATATACACACAATCGACTCACAGACACAACAACAACCGCCATTGGTCACTAAGTGGCATTGACGTCACCACGACGCTTGTGCCAGGCCATGTGCACCTTGAGGCCACGTGAAGTGTCGAACACCCGCTAGCAGGAGGTCACGGGGCAGACCCAGGTGCCACGGGTCGACTGACTGAGATGACTGAGATGACTGGCTGATGCACCACCTGTGCCACCTGCTGTGCCAACTTGCTGTGCTTTAGCCACCCGGCGCTCCGCTCGTTGTTGTGAGCGTTGCTCCTCCGCCCTCCGTTGTTGTTGGAGGGGACTGCCTCCTACTGCCCAGTAGCGTCCTTCACTTGCCTCCTCCACTGAGGCCGATCTTGACACCGCTGGTACCAGTCATTGGCAAGTTCACTCAGCTCCACGTCCTCCTGTACCACATCACTCCATCTCTACTCTAGCCCGTGCCGCGCCATTTTAGCCCCCTCTATCCGGCCAAACAAAAGCTGTTTAGGCATGCGGTGGCTGGGAATGCGGTCTACATGACCAGCCAACGCAGCCTTGCCCGCCAGAGGAGCTCACCGATGGTACTTTGCCCAGATCTTTCAAGGATTTGTGAGCTCCTCACAAATCCTAGACTCGCACACACATCGACCTACACACACACATATGTACTTACACACACAGAGATATCGACTAACACACACAGACATATCTACTATCACATACACATCGACTCACACACACGCACACACACATCGACTTACTCACACACACCGACTTACTCACACACACCGACTTACACACACATACATAGACTCACAAACACATCGACCTACATGCACACACATTGACTTACACACACACATGAACCCACGCACACACATCGACTCACACACGCACATAGAGCCACACACACATCCATTTACACGCAGACATATCGACATACACACACATACAGCGACTCGCACACATCAACGCACAAACAAACACATCAACTTACTGTTAAATATTATTTTTTTATACGCACACACCATGCACAAATGTGTAATGACAATGTGGATCGATAGTGAGACAGTATGGTTCCCCGGGACCATGGTTACTAATGGACGAGCTAATGATGATTAATGAGACAAGCATTGACAGGGTCACGTAAGGGGAAGCACGGGATCCATTGGCGGGAAAGTGTAATAAGGGTGGTGATCGGCAGGGCCAGGTGTGGTTAGGAGAATTCGGGAATGAGGGCGTGGCCGGACCGGGCGAGGATAAGTAGGAGCGCGAACGGAGGCTTGGGGCTACTTGGTTTGGGGAACTGCCGTGGTCGTTGCCTTGGATTGGGTCGTCTCCTTGGATTGGGTTGTCTCCATCGCCTGCGAGTTGTCTAGAGATTGGAAGCTATGTTGTCTCAGAATAGAGTTGTGTCAATACCCAAGTGTACGGAGTCACTCGCGGTTACGTGTTGAATTGTCATTGGATTTCATTCTTAATAGATATACAGAAGACAAGACAACGTCTCTGAGAGCTACATTACACATACATAGGTCAGTTTAACATGTAGGCTTTCGCGACCAATATTATTCATCTTCTTTGGTTCTTTCGGTAAAGTCACGTAGAATGAGAATAAAATAATACATTGATAAAATAAAATAACACAATAATATTCTCACGACGTTTTGGCCACAACACAAGCGGCCTTCATCAGGTGAAGGGGACGAGACTCTCTGGAGGACAGCGCTGGAGTGAGAAAGCCACGCTGAGATCACGACCTTTAAGCTGTGTGAGAAGAAACAAAGCGCCTTGACAAAGGAATTAGCATATAATTTAGCATTGAAATGGCTGAGTGATTAGCTTGTGACTGGTCACAGAAAAGGCTATGTTAAAGTTAAAGCATACACATCCGCAAAGGCACCCCTTGACAAAGGAATTAGCATAGAATTTAGCATTGAAATAGCTAAGTTAAAATATACACATCCGCAGAGGCACTCTTTGACAAGTGAATTAGCATAGAATTTAGCATTGAAATAGCTGAGTGATTAGCTTGTAACTGGTCACAGAAATAGCTATGTTAAAGTCAGAGCATATACATTCACCAAGGCAACTAGTACAAATCAAACAGGAGAATTTAGCATTGAAATAACTAGGCGAATTTAGCATTGAAATAACTGAGTGATTAGCTTGTGACTGGTCACAGAAATGGCTATGTTGAAGTTTAGGCCTACACATCTGAGCTATTCACAGTAACTGGGTATACAATAAAATATATAATGAATACTATATAGTGAACCAATAAAAAATACTAAAATATAAATTACCTCAATGTTATCAATGAACTCTATATTCTCCAATCAGCTAAGCTACCAACAATAAGTCGTTATATATCACAATGCTATATGGCGAAAAATGGGTGGATTCTTACCCTCAACTTTAGCAACACGGATAGCTACGGGTCCTGTTCAGACGGACGAGTTCATCCATGGTCGGAACAGAGGAGGGGGAGAGAGACAGCTGCGAGGCGCTGTTATACTCCATTTTGTAAACCATACCATTAACCGTGGTATGAGAAGTATTAAGAGTCAATGCCAGCGAAAGAGCTGCGGTCTGAAGGTCATTGTAAAATACAAAAACCATCACCTTACCCTACATTGCAGGGGTCACTAAAAAGATCTCCAAAATCCTGAATAAACACAAGATCCAGGTCCGATTCAACACAGTACATAAAATCCGTGATCTAGTTCCATCTGTAAAAGATGCTGTTCCAGACATACAGTACCCGGGCGTTTACAAACTAAAGTGCCTCTGTGGTAGTAGCTACATTGGAGAAACCAAACGACATATCTCGGACCGCATCCGCGAACATAAAGCGGACTTGAAACACGGTAGAACGAACTCCTCTGCCGTGGCAGATCACTGTTATAATTCAGTGGGCTCATTTGACATTGACTTCTCCAAGACGGAGGTTCTTTGCAAACCAACCGGCTACCATGAGAGATTCGTTGAGGCCATTCACATATACAAGCACAGAGACAATTTCAATCGAGAAGATGGATTCTGGCACTAGTAACCATTGGAAAGATGTTTTAAACCATTTCCGTTCTTAATTAATTGTATTTTACAATGACCTTCAGACCGCAGCTCTTTCGCTGGCATTGACTCTTAATACCTCTCATACCACGGTTAATGGTATGGTTTACAACATGGAGTATAACAGCGCCTCGCAGCTGTCTCTTTCCCCCTCCTCTGTTCCGACCATGGATGAACTCGTCCGTCTGAACGGGACCCGTAGCTATCCGTGTTGCTAAAGTTGAGGGAAGAATCCACCCATTTTTCGCCATATAGCATTGTGATATATAACGACTTATTGTTGGTAGCTTAGCTGATTGGAGAATATAGAGTTTATTGATAACATTGAGGTAATTTATATTTTAGTATTTTTTATTGGTTCACTATATAGTATTCATTATATATTGTATTGTATACCCAGTTACTGTGAATAGCTCAGATGTGTAGGCCTTAACTTCAACATAGCCATTTCTGTGACCAGTCACAAGCTAATCACTCAGTTATTTCAGTGCTAAATTCGCCTAGTTATTTCAATGCTAAATTCTCCTGTTTGATTTGTACTAGTTAGCTCGGTGAATGTATATGCT